ACCATGCCTGTGTGCACTTGTCTAAAATCATCAAACTGTATATATTAAGTATATGCAGCTCTTTGTATGCATCAGTTCTTAATATTTTCTTTAAAAAATTAGATGCAATCCAATCTACATGCAAAGCATGGTGTTTGCGTTTTTCCAGTCCCACAAACTCTTGCTTGGTGGTAAGTGCCATAATCATAGTACTTCCTTGTGAGTGAACACAAGGAAATACTACCACTCTCAAACTGGACAGTCCCTGAAGGCAAAAGAACACATAGTGCTTTATCTTTCCCCAAAATATAAGGACTACACTAGGTTGGGTAAACCTGGTTTCTGAGAATTTTAGAATATAATTTTTACAAAAGAGCTGAGGTTTTAAAAGCAAAAAACATTGTGCTCAGCTTTTCTCTTACCATGTTATCAGCTTCCTGTACCCACATAGCCCTTAGCCTTCAAATCCCTCAAAGATGCCCTTGTCCCTACTGCCTGAGATCCCACGGACTGATGATTTAGATAAATCATGTGTCAAATCTTGGCAGCCACCTCTCTTATTTGTAAGAAAGATCAAGTAGTCCTTTGAAAAATACCCGAAGGACAAAAATATTGCCAATGCTCATACATTTCCTGTGTAAAGAGCACTGAATGACAAAACTCAGCAGACGGCACCCACCAAACATATAGAGCCACCATGCATTTCTATTCACCATCTGCTCGATCTTCAGTCTTCATGGCTTATTAGCCTCTACACAGGATCATTTCTCTATCCTTTCTCACTTTGTCTGATGGGAAAATCCACTATCACTCTTGAAGATACTGCTAAAACAGTTTGCAGAAGTTAGTCGCCCCCTATAAGCCGTATTCTTACCTCTAGGAAAACATCTTTCACATTATGTCAAACTATATGGTGAATCTAAGGTTCCGGACCTCTATCATCTATTGATTGGCATAGTCACTGGGAGGGAGTATATATTCAATGCCTTTTGAATGATGAATGAGTGTCACTGTCAAAATTGCCTTATATTTCTGTAAAAATAGTTTAATAATGTTGTTGACTTTCTTTTCTATAAGTAAGTATGCTAGGAGAAAGAATAAGAGCATGATTATGTCAATTACCACAAGTTACCCAAAGTACTGGAGAACAAACAATTCTTAAAATCAGAATGTTAAGCATAGTTTTAGTGACAAAAGTGTTTCCTTAACTATGTACCTTTAAGTTCTCCTTTCTGTCACCAGAGCATAACAGAAAAATAATACATATGCATGCACGCTTTGTATCAAAAGAGTTTTTGTTTGTTTGCAGAACTTGGGGAGGATAAATCTAGGACCTTTATGCATGGGCTATATCCCAAGTCCCAGAAGAGTTATTTTAAAAGATCAAAACAGAGTAAGATGTGCACTTGCTTAGCACCGCAGAGATCTCCATTTGGTCTCCAGCACAACAAAAGAAAAAGAAAACCAAAAAGGATTTTATAATTGAAAGAGACCTCTTGGTTATCAAATGCAGTCCTTTACCATGCATGAGTCTCTACACTGTGCCTGATAAATATTCAACTAGTTTTCACTAGAAAACTTCCCTTGTTGGGAAACACATTACTTAAAAAGATGTAAGATTCCCTGTTCTGACAATTATAATGTTCAAATTGAGCCCAAATCATTAGCCATGAGTCAACTGAGTTTTTTTATCCTTCCCAACCTCTTATAAATTTCAGTCTTTGCTTCTTAAACCTAGGACACAATCCTTCCTAGAGCTCTATGAAGAACAATATACAGCTATGTAATTATCCCAAGGCATTTCCAGTTTCACTCAACTACTTTCCTATGCCACATTCTTCAATTTTTGACCAAGCTAATTTATGTCTTCAGAATACATTCTGATTTGTCTTTAAAATTTATAAAGAAAAGCCTGCAACATACTCCAGGTGAGACCTGCCCAATGTAGACAATTTTCTAGAACAGCACTAACATAGATCTAACATACCTGTCATGCTTTATTCCATACTGTTGTTTAATTCATACTGATCCTTACCTGTGCACAGTGGGACCTTGGCAATGGTTAGCAGGAAGAGGTTGGATGAAGCCTGGGTGTGACAAGAGACAATAGAACTGACCTAATTATGAAAATGGCTTTCTGAGAGGCGAGTTACCTGAATAGGCAATCACGGTACCTAGGGTAAACACCAGAATGAATGTTTTCTAGAAGTACTTAGATCTTGAGGAAACTGGAAAACAGCGATTGTTTTCAGTTATCTATAGAGTTGTTTGTTTAGAGGCATTTTATAGCCTGTCTTAGGGTTTCTATTGCTGTGATGAAAAACAATGACCAAAAAGAAAAAATCAAGTTGGGAGGGAAAGGGTTTGTTAGGCTTAGACTTCAGCATTATTGCTGTTCATCACTGAAGGAAGTCAGGACAGGAACTCAAACAGGGCAGGAACCTGGAGGCAGGAGCTGATGCAGAGGCCATGGAGGGAAGCTATTTACTGGTTTCCTTCCCATGGCTTGTTCAGTGCACCTTCTTATAGAACCCAGGACCAACAGCCCAATGATGGGACTACCCACCATGGACTGGGCCCTCCCCCATTGATCACTAAGCGAGAAAATGCCTTACAGCTAGATCTCATTGAAGCATTTCCTCAACTGAGGCTCCTTCCTCTGATGACTGTAACTTATGTCAAGTTGACACACAAAACCATCCAGCTTTTGCCTGACTTTGATCACAAGATTGTCCTAGCACACCTCAAGTGTCTTGTGATTATTGGATACTGTACACAGTACACAATAAGAACTAAAGTTGCAGAGGTGTGATGTTTTCCTTCAGAAAACATAGATTAGATCAGGGGCTTTGGTATAAAGAACTTGTTTTACCCTCCTCCCCCAAAAGAAAACAACTTTTGTGTAACAATAAATATGCCTTTGCACAGCTGTTTGAGGTTCAGTTCATAGAAATTGTTCCTCCCTGCTGCCTGAATTACATTCTGGAGTGACCCCCCCCCCCTTCAGCCAACCTTTGCAACACAGAACCTGTCTATCTTAGGTCTCTGGCCTATCCAGCCTCCAGTTCCTGCTCATCCAGGCAGTGTCAAACATGGGCTCCCTCTCACCCTATGGGCTTCAAATTAAACCAGTCATTGGTTGGCCACTCCCACAAGTTCTGCACTTCCATTGCCCAGCACATCTTGCAATCAGGATAGACTGTAGGTCAGAAATTTTGTGACTAGGTTCTTGTCCCAGTGCCACCACTGGAAGCCTTGCAGAAGATGATTGGTCCAGGCTCCATATTCTCTATTACTAGGAGTCCTTGCTGGGGTTACCCTCATAGATTCCTGGGAGTTTCTACTGCACTAGGTTTCCACATTGCACCTCAAATGCCCTCTAGTTCTGGTCATCTCTCCCTATACTGTCTCCCTCCATCCATCCCCCACAACTACCCTTCCTATTCTCATCCCCATCTGCCCACCGTCCACCCACAAAATCTAATCTATTTACCCTTCCCAGAGAGATCTTCCTTATCACTTAGCCTTTCTGGGTCTGTGGTTATAGAATAATTATCATTTATTTTACAGCTACTATCCACTTACAAGTGAGTACCATGCTTTCCTTCCTTAGGATTTTTTCTAGTTCCATCCATTTACCTGAAAATTTCATGATGCCAATTTTTTTGTAACAGTTGAACAATACCCCATTGTGTAAATGTACCACAATTTATTTATCTATTCTTTGGCTGAAGGACATTTAGGTTGTTTCCAGTTTCTGGCTACAATGAATAACAGTGCTATGAACATAGTTGAACAAGTGCCTTTGTTGTAGGATAGAATATCTTTGGGGCATATGCCCAAGAGTGGTATAGCTGGGTCTTGAGGTAGATTGATCCCTAACTTTCTGAGAAACTGCCATATTGGTTTCCAAAGTGCCTGTATAAGTTTGCACTGCCACCAGCAGTGGAGGAGTGTTCCCTTTGCTCCACATCCTCACCAGCATATGCTGTCACTTGTGTTTCTTAGCCATTCTGATAGGTGCAACATAAAATTTCAAAGTAGTTTTGATTTGAATTTTATTATGGCTAAGGGTGTTGAACATTTCTTTATGTGTTTCCCAGCCATTTAAGATTTCCCTATTGAGAATTCTGTTTAGATATGTACCCCATTTTTAAATGGATTATTTTGATTGTTGAAGTCTAGTTTCTTGAGTTCTTTATACATTTTGGATATTAGAACTCTATCAGATGCAGAGGTGTAAATCTTTTCCTATTCTGTAGGCTGCTTTTTTGTCCTATTGGTGGTGTCCTTTGCCTTGAAGAAGCTTTTTGGTTTCCTGAAGTCCATTTATTAATTGTTGATCTTAGTACCTGCACTCTCAGTAACTGGCTTTTATATGGATTCTGGGAACTGAACTCGGGTCCTCACACTTGCACTTATTCAATGAACCATCAATCATCTCCCTTGCCATATATATATATATATATGTGTGTGTGTGTGTGTGTATATGTATATGTATACATATATATGAAATATACATAAATTATATTTTTAAAAAACTGATCAAGGATGATATGAATTGGTTGGAAATAGCTTGCTAAAAAAGCATGTTATGTGATTTTTTAAGGAGATAAGTATATTTCTTTGTAATGTGGCTATAACAAAAAACAAATACAGTTTATATTTTAAAATACTGGAATAACTTCATCATAAGTATTTGGAATCAAAACTTTGTAAGTGGCAAGGTCTGGTGGTAAATGTCTTTAATTCCAGCACTCATGAAGGAGAGGCAGGTGGATCTATGTGAGTTTCAGGCCAGCCAGGGTTACATTCATGAGACTCTGTCTCAAACATTTTATATGTATTCATATGTATTCATATGTATTTATATGTATTCAGTATCATCAATTATGTCAGAATTTTCTAGGTGGTGTGATTGGTATTTGCTGCAACTCCTTTCGTAGTTCCTTTTTCAGCACCTTTCTCTTTTTCTTCTGTTATCTAATTATCTGAAACTTTAGAGGAGTGGGAACCACCCAATGAGGGTATGTGGCTGCTCTGGTCCTATGGTTGAGATCCAAAGAACTGGGAGTGATATCATCTTTAACAATAAAACGCTCCTCTTTGTGAGCAAAGCCTACATAAGAAATGCAGATTTGAGGAGTTGCAGTCCAGTCCATCTGCTGTCTCATTCCCTCCAACTTAATACAGCAGCGGTTGGTGGCAATCCTGAAGGATCCTCTGTGAAGTCATTGTATGGTAAGGAGCTTCTCAAAGGCTCTTCCAGATTCTGTGAGATTTTGATAACTGAACAAGTTTTCAATGCATACCATTTTCTACCAGTATCATGCTATTTTCCATTGTAAAACATTAAGGGGAGGTTAATTTTGTTAAATATAAAATGTAGCAATAAAATAAATTTATGTTATGGTAAGAAAGTCATGAATCCTTATTTTTATGATGAAAACTTCTTGGAATACCTTTTTTTAAAAACGACGTGAAAGTACAGAAAATTGACGATACTCTTTAGTGATCTCATTATTATTATTCAAAAATTTGAGATAAAAAACAGGGTGGTGGAGAGACAATAATTCTGATGTAAAAAGTCAACAATAATTTACCATGTGGAGTGTATATTTATTTTCCTGTAAGGTATTCTTATCTATATTTTGAATTTTATGGCTTCTAAGGAGCTTAGCCTGCATTCTAAAGTTGCATTTTTTTTCCACTATAGAATAGTCATTCCTTTTACACAAAGAACAGCATTTTCTAATCTTCGTGTAGGTGTTTAAGTATGCTATCTGGTCATTTCAGCTCTTTTCATGGCATCACTATATAAGAAGTTCATCTTCCTCAAAAGAACAAGAAGTGAAGCAGAGATGTCACTAGGTCACTTGAACTTATATTACCAAACATCAGTGCTCCTGTCCACCAGCTACAGTGCTTGTGACTGAGCCCTGACTTTCCTTTATCACTACACTGATGGCTGTGCAGTGCGCAGAGAGGAAAAATGATGCATTCTATAAGGTCTCTTATGCTACTTTAGAACTAGAACTAAACCACAACTGCTAAGTTGAAGCTATAAGATGCAGACACTCATTTTTATTAAAGGTCAAAGCTCTAAGAACATTATATAAGAAGTTAATTGGTTTCTTAAATGCTTTGGCACATCCTTTGTGTGTGTGTATAATCACACACATGTGAATATGTATGGGCACATGAAGGCCAGAGGTCAATGTTGGATATCTTCCTCTATCATTCTCCACCTATTTTTTTTTTAAACTTTCCCAATGCTAGCATTATAGGTGCACTGCTGCTGTACCCAATGCTTGCACAGCAAGAACTTTACTGAGCCATTCTTCTAGTCATGACACATGCTTTTTTCATTGTGAGAGGTATGTACATTATTAATACATTAAAGATATCAAATTCAAACCTTATAGTTAGACATGGTGGTGAATATCTGAAACCCAATGTGCCAGAGACCAAGGCCTGGAGGATCATAATTTGAAGGCCAGCCTTGGTTATATAGCAAGATCTTATCTCAAAAATAAACATAAAACCCTACAAATTTAGTATTTACAATTGTTATGATAGCATCTGAAAATAAGCTTTCATCATGAAAATAGTGTTTGATCACTCAATAGTGATAATTTACCTGATTAGTAGATTAGTGAATTTCAGGCCTATTATAAACACTTAGGCATAGCCAACATGAATAATGGGAAATCATAAAAAACACTTTTCATTAATCATGTGTTTTAAATTTCATATTTAAAAATTTGCACAAGGAATTCAGAAAGCCTCCTAAGGAAGTCATGGATCCAGTTTCCCTAAGCTATGTGCACATGTTACATTACTAATATATCCATTATATAAAGAGACTGATTCCAAAGACTCAGGAAAAACAGCTCAACTGATCACTGTGATGTCAGCTAACTGCTGATTGCTTAGATGGTTATGAAGAACAACTACTAGGACTTTAGCACATTGACAGTATTTTAAACTATCTCAATGTTGCTTCTACTTTCAGTAAAGATGACGTCTGCAAAAGCCATGGCTAAAGTAACGATCATCATGCTGGTAGTTTGTCTTCTCACCCAAACAGATGGGAAACCTATTAAGTAAGTGCTACAGCCCATTCTGTACAGGGAAGATATGGACCTGAGGTTTTGTAGTAGGGTTTTAGGATGGGGACATGGGGAACTAATGGAGTGGCCCTCTCTTTCTGCTCTTTCTAGGAAGAGAGCTGTCAGTGAAATACAGCTTATGCACAACCTGGGCAAACACCTGGCCTCTATGGAGCGGATGCAATGGCTGAGAAAGAAGCTACAAGATGTACACAATTTCGTTAGCCTTGGAGTTCAAATGGCTGCCAGAGATGGTGGTTACCAGAGGCCCACCAAGAAGGAGGAAAATGTCCTTGTTGATGGCAATGCAAAAAGTCTTGGAGAGGGAGACAAAGCTGATGTGGATGTATTAGTTAAGGCTAAACCTCAGTAAAGGCTGATTTATTAGACAGTAAAGGGCAACAGTATATGCTGCTAACTTTTCAGGCTCTGTGAAGATCACCAAGTGCTAATACTTCCAGTGTAATGAAAATTGGGAATTATTCTGATTCCACTTTTGCTCATTTATGATCTCTTTCAATGATTCCATTTCAATATGTTCTTCTTTTTCAAATATGTTATTGCAGAACTTATAAAGAATAAGTTACACATTTCTACTTTTCTCCTTAAATACAAAATAAAACTTTAGTGATCATGAATCAAATAAGTAGTGACTCTTACTTGTTGAAACTATTTCTCAAGGCTGGAGGGCTGGCTCAGAAGTTAAGAGCACATGCTGCTCCCTCAAATGACTTGAGCTGGTTCCCAGGACCCACACTGGGTGGCTCACAACCACTTGTAAGTAAGTGCAGGTCCAGGAAGATCCAATGCCCTTGGCCTCTGCCATCACTAAACACTCATATGCACATCCCCACAAACATATAAGTAAGTTAAAATAACAAAAAAAATCTAAATAAATCCCTTGTCTCCTGTCACAATGCCTATCCAGATGGTTTTATTGACATGAATTTGTAAAACAACACAAGAAAAAATTTCCTTAACTCGTTTATCTCACTTCAATATTTTGAACATTGTCTGTATTTAAGTCCAAAGTACTCAGTTCCCAAGTTCACACTAGCTGAATATTTTTCTCCCCTTCTTTTCAGGAAACCCAATGAAATACTTAGGAAATAAAGTAGAAAGTGGTCTAAGACTTAACTACAAAACACTTGCCATTACATAAACTCAGAGTTTGCCTATACTCTGAGCTCCAGACTTCATGGAATAGAAACACAGGGCTTATCTGTTATTTACCAATCCTACTTTTAGTGTCCATTATGAGTGATGTACTCATTTATCTTCTATTGCACATACATGGTCCCATAGAGTCCCCAAATTTAAACATTATTTCAAAATAACTTCAAGAACTTCTAAGTATGAAAAACACAATATCCTACATGGATGCAAATTATGGAGCCTATGGCATTTAGATAAATGATATTGTACAAAATGTACAATAATGGAAATATTCCATACTCTTATGTGTGAAATGAAAGTGGCATTGATGTTCATCTAAAATGTGGCTAATATTACTGTGAAAATTGATTTAACATTTTATTTAATTAATTGAAGTATCAGATTATGGTCAATATTGGACCTCCAAACTATAGGTCCTACACCTACAGGTTTTCCTGCCATAAATTAGAGATTATATATGCCTGTGATAAAAACTTGTTTGTTCTTTTTTTCCTTTGAAAATAGTAAAACTTACTGTTTAAATGTTTTTATTTAAACATATGTATGTTTTATTTTAAAAATAAAAATAAAAAGTCTGGATATGGTGATGTATACCTCTGACCCCAGCACTCAGGAGGCAGAGGCAGGTAAAGCTTGGCAAGCCTGAGGCCAGCCTGATCTACACATTGAGTTCCAGCCCAATCAGGTCTACATAATGAGAGCATCTCACAAAAATAAAATGGACAGATACTATTTATTGTTCAGGTTATGCAGTAGAACTTTCTTGTCAGCCCCTCTTTGATCACAGAGCCTGTTTTGCCCACATTCTATTTCTTCTCTCATATCCATTTTTTTTTTTTAGATTAACTAGTCTAATGTAATATTTTCAAATATTTTCACTTGCAAGACATGGAAGCAGTCTTTTTAGCCAAAAGTATTTTCATCTAAATTAACTAGAAACTAATTAATTGTTTTTGTTTGTTTGTTTGTTGTTTGTTTGCTTGAAGACAGGGTCTTTATGTAGCTCTGACTGTCCAGTCCAGGAAGACCTCAGAATCCCAAGTGCTGAGATTAAATGCAAGGGCCACTATGCCTGACAACGAGACACTTCTTTACATAACATCACCAGAATATGACTACCGGGCATGTAAAGAGTTCTGTAGGGTGGTCATGGGCTCCACTTCTACCACACCATCCTAGTTTTGTCTCCATTCTAGGCAGCAGCAATATGGGAATATTTTGGATGGACCAGATCTGGAAAAGCTGTTATTCTCTTTTTAGACACAGTTGCAAAATTAGAATTATTTAATAGCTTTAGGACAAATTATTGTCTTTAATATCTTTATTATCTCTCCTAGTCCATCAGGACTGTAAGGTTCCTAATTGACTCTCATCTCTTTTTATGCTTTTTAAATAGATTACATTTTCTCAGGATTTTATGCAGCTCATGCTAATTACTAAATACTATACAGATCTGTGTCTATCCTGAAAGGGGGCTTAGACTTTTTTTATTTTGCTAGTTGATATTTTTGTGCAGAAGAATATTCAGTTTTCTTCTAAAAACCAATAATCTTGCTGAATTCCTTTATTAATTTAAACTATTATCTTTTATGAAATTTATTTTTCTAGACTGTTAGTCATGCAAAATAATGGCATATTTATCTCTTTTCTCCCTCTTATTACACATCTTTGTTTCTTATAGTTTTATCCAGTACCTACAATTTTTTTATTTTTCACTTATGAGGGATTCTACTGTTCTTCCTTAATCTGCTCTTGACCTTAAAAATGAGGTGTTAATTTCTCCAGAAAAGAAAGCCCTTAAGATACTATTACATTCCCTTTCATAACTGTTCTGCGAAGGGCTCTTTGGAAATATAAAGAAGCACTGAACTTTATAAAATGCTTTACTATAAACACATATAATTTTCACTTCCAGTATGTTAATTTTGAGAATTAAATATTCATGTGCCTATAATTAAATGTCTGTAACACACATTAGTTTTTGTTTTAGCTTTATAACCGCTTTGTTTATTTTGGTTTTTCAAGAGAGGGTTTTTCTGTGTAGCTCTGGCTGTCCTGGAACTCACTCTGTAGACCAGGCTGGCCTTCAACTCAGAGTTTTGTCTGACTCTGCTTCCTGAATCCTGGTATTAAAAGCAAGCACCACTACTATCTGGTTTATATCCACTTTATTAAAGAATCCTTCAAATATAGTATAAATTTTGTATTTAATTTTTAATTTTTTTTTAAATTTTTTAAGTTTTTTGAGACAGAGTTTCTCTGTGTTCCTCTTACTGTCCTGGCACTCACTTTGTGGACCAGGCTGGCTTCAAACTCGCAGAGATCCTCTTGCCTAAAGGCATGCACCACCACAGCCCTGCTCACTTTCAATTTTAAGCTAGCGAAGAATGAAGTCATGACTTTTGCAGGAAAGTGGACACAACTGTCGATCATGTTAAGCAAAATATACCAGACTGAAAGACAGGCATCTCATATGCAGGATGTAGAAATGTGTTTATACAATCTGAGAGGAGAACGGGAATTATGAGGGGGCAAGTATAAATCTTTGGACAGGAAGGATAAAAGAAGGTAATAGAGTATGTATCTTTTCTTCATAAATAGTATATATTTCTTATAATCTTATAAAATATATACAGTTTGTCTAAAAGATTATATTTGTGTATAAGGGTATGTGCTAGAGCTGGAATTACAAGCAGTTGTGAGCTGCCTGATGTTGGTGCTGAGTCTGAACTCAGGTCCTCTGGAAGAACAGCAAGTGCTCTTAAAGCTGAACTATCTCTCCAGTCTCACTTTTTTAAAAAAGAAAAATATAAAAATGAGCATCCACTTTTCACTCGAAATTATGTAATTACCATACATGCTTGAACCTTAGAATTTCCGTGTAGATTTTTTGATCATACACCCTCTCTCTCTCTCTTTCTCTCTCTCTCTCTCTCTCTCTCTCTCTCCATATTCTTACTTTAATGTTTATCATTACTCTCTTGGTTTTTATTCTAGTTAACTGTGTGTGCGTGTGTGTGTGTGTGTGTATGCGCGCACATCTTTAAAACTGGAACATCTAACTATATATTTTCAAATATCTGTCTTTGTAAATCATGGGTCTGTCTTTCCCATATTTCTTTTCTCACCATCTACCATGGCTAAGCCCCCTATTTTCCATTTTAAAGGTTTTTATTTGTCTGGTTTTTGCTAGTTAGTATCCACTATAGCAGAGTCATATATATGATTTAATTTGGATAATAAATTGCTTTAAGAATAAATTCTAGGTTGGGATGAGGCCCACAAGCTGGTAGACGTTCTCCACCAGCTCAATTAGCCTGCCTGCTTTTAGTCCCCCACCCTCTATCCCCAGGAGACAATCTTGGATCATGCTAACTCAGTTTCACCTTTCCTTCTTTGGAGATGGCTGGACTCCTCTTTGCATCAGAGGCTGCCTGGATGGACCCTTGAAGGACAAATGCTGTTCCACACTTGGAAACCACCCTTTTCACTTGTGGCATCCTTTTGTTTCTTGATTGCTGCGTCTCGGGGCCACAGCATCCTTAAATACATGCTCTAAACACTGAATTATATCCTAGTCATAATCTATTGTCTCCATCTCAGGATGTTTATGAAGCAAGATGTTTGGATTTTCAGGGGTAGGTGGCAGATTAGAAGCTGCTTCTGTGTGAATCTGTGACTGAGAAGAGAAACAAACGACAGACCTTTTAAAGAAAGAGAAGAAGGGGAATCCCCTACTAGTATTTTGGGTAGGAGAGGTTCACCAGAGACTATCATGAAGGAAAGCATGGTCAGATGTGGACATATTAAGAAATTTAGACAGTGGGGAATTTGGGCAGTGATCATTCTATTCTCTGAACCAAGGAGCAAACTTGATAGCATGAGGATAGCAATAGAGAATTATGAGCCTAAGCCTGTGGTCAGCAAACTGCTCATTGAAAGCTCTGAGCCTAAGCACACTGGATCATTTGACTTCTGGAGTATTATTCTTCCCCGTACAGGGTTTTGAGCTGCTGGGCAGAATCTGAAACTACTGAGATAGGAATGCTGGCTTCTCTCTGTTCCCCCTCCCATCTAGTACAGACTTCAGATTCTACTTCCTCTGGTCTGGGAGACATGTAGGAGATACCACTTGGCTTGCACATTAGACACCCCTACATACACAAATCAAGGATTCTCACGTGAAAACCTTTATCT